AGAAGGTAAGTGAATCCTTGCGATGGTGGTAATGGTCCAACTATATCTAAGTGTACGTGAGCAAACCTGGTGTCGGGAGTGCCAAAAGTACCAATAGGGCTAGCAGTGTGCCTGGTTACTTTGGATTTGTGGCATGCCAAACAGCAACGTGCCTAACTACGTACGTCTTTATGCATAGATTGCCAAACAAAACGTTGGCTGACTAATGCCGAACTAGCCCGGATACCCGGGTGAGATAGGTTATGNTGCAGAGTGTCGAAAACTACTCTGCGCATCTGTACTGGTACCTAAGGACAAGGTGTGTGAGAAACATCACACCAGATTGTGCCGTCGGAAGTGGATAGTGGCAAACGCTAAAGATCTAAGGAGGACTCCAATGCGTTTTGCAAGTCCGGGTCGGAATCTTGCAGTTGTGCCATACGTGTCAAATCGATCACGTTCCCTGAAACTACCGCTATGCGCGAGAGAGCATCGGCAACGACATTATGCATACCTGCAACGTGTCGAATGTCAGCAGTAAACTGCGACACCTATTCCGAGTGACGTATCTCTCGAGGAGAGTACCTGTCACTAGAGGACTGAGGAGAGTATGTCAGTGGCTTATGGTCAGGGAAGATGATGAAGTCACAACCTTCCAATGAATGACGAAAGTGACGAACAGCCAGGTAAGCGGCGAAAAGTTCTCGACTAAAAGTTCTGTACCTAGTGGCTGCGTCTGAAAACCGTTGGGAGTAGAAACCTAAAGGTTGCCAGATATTGTCCTTCCATTGTTGGAGGACCGCACCGGCCGCGGTGTCTGACGTGTCTACTGCCAAACTTAGCTTTGCATCAGGGTCCTGATTTGCCAACAAAACAGTATTGGAGACTGCTAATTTAATGGCATCAAAAGCCTGCCGTGCTGAGGGAGTCAATTCGATAAGCTTGGGGTTTCCTCTGAGTAAGTCAGTAAGTGGACGAACTACTTGGGAGCAATAAGGTATGAAACTACGATAGTAATTGATCATCCCTAGGAAACGACGTAGTTCGGTCGCCGTCAAAGGTGGAGGAAAATCCCGAATCCCTGCGATTTTGTCCTCGAACAGGCGGAATCCTTGACTATCAATATGGTGACCCAGAAAAACTGAAGATTCACGACCTAATTCACACTTGGCGGCATTAACGGTGATACCATGTTGCTGCAGACGTTGACAAAGTGTGCGTAAGTGCACTTCATGTTCGGCGGCGTCCTGACTGGTGACAAGTATATCATCTAAATACGGAAAAACTATATCTAATCCGCGAAGAACCTCATCGATGAAACATTGGAACGTCTGTGCAGCGTTGCGTAGTCCGAACGGCATTCGAAGGAATTCGAAAAGGCCAAACGGAGTGATGACAGCGGTC